AGAAAAATATTGTACTTACATATGGAATCTAAAAAAACTGATTTCATAGAAGCAAAGTAATAGAAGGGCAGTTACCAGGGGTAAAGAGAAACATGGAAGAAATACAAGATGTTGGTTGAAGGATACAAAGTTTGACTCAGACAGGATGAATAAATCCTACAGACCTCAGAACAGCATGGGAATTAAAGTTAAGACTACTCTCTATTCCAAGTGGATCTTAAATGTTCACACACAGTAACTATATCAGGTACTGGTATGTCAATAGCTTGACTACAGTATTCATTTCACATGTATATGTACATTGAAACAACACACTAAATACCTTGAAAACATAAACAATTTTTATTTATAAATTACCAGAATCATAAAGGGGAATAAGGCAACTAGGCAAACGAGGCACATAAGGGAACTTCCTCACTCTCACAGTGTATCCATGAAAACACATACAGCTAACATTATACTGCATGATGGAAAGAATGAATGTTTTCCTCCCAAGACTAGGAACAGGGCAAGGGCGTCAACTCTCACTGCCCTGGCCAGTGTAATTTAGGGGAAGAGGGTGGAGAAGCCTGGGAGAGTAAACAGATGGAAAAGGGAAAGGTAAAACTGTCATTAGTTCCAGTAACGGGTTATGTAGAAAATCCTAAGGAGTCTATATAAAAGCTATGTAATACCTGAGTTTAGCGAGATCACAGGATACATATGATTTTTAATATTCACTTTGTGCTTCTACATACTAGCAACAAACCATTAGATATTCAAATTTCAAAAATTCTATTTATAGTAACAAAAATATGAAATACTTATGAACAAACCTAGCAAATATTTACAAGACTTATCTTGTGAAAACTGCAAAGCACTGTTAAAAGAGATTTAAAAACGATACAAACAAATAAGATTCAAAATACATTGAGGGGCTGGGAGACTTAGTAGGAAATCGATTCTCCCCAAATTGATTTACAGATTCAAAACAGTCCCAATCAAACCCTTGCAAGCTCTTTTGTAGGAAGGTATACTCTAAAATTTACATGAAAATGCAAACAGCCTAGAATAGCCAAAACAACTCTGAAAAAGAACCCAGTTGGAGAAATCATACAACATGGTTTCAAAAACCACAATAAAGTAAAAGAAATCAACAGTGTGTGTGATTGCAGTCTGAAGACACACAGATCAACAGAACAAAAAAAAGAGTCCAGAAATAAACCAACATATACAGTACTTAGCAAGCACTTTCAAAAGGTACCACAGCAATTCAATGATGAAAAGTGGGCTTTTCAATAAATAGCACTGGAATAACTGATCTCTATATGCAACAAATATACTTAACTTTCATCATATGGCCTGGGAATTAGCTTAGTGGCACAGCACCTGCTGGGCAAGCACAAGTTTGTGAGTTCAATTCCTGGTACCATAACAAACAAAAAAACTCCCAAACTAAAAATGAATGCTTACTTAAAAATGACTTTTAAAAGTAAATTCCCGGGGGGCTGGGGATTTAGCTCAGCGGCATAAGTGCCTTCTTTCCAAGTGTGCGGTCGTGAGTTCGATCCCTGGTACCAATAAAAACGAAAAAGACAAAAAAAAAAAAGTAAATTCCCTAGGATCCATGATTACATTCCATAACACTGCTTTGAAAGAAAACATTTTATACAAAATAAAAATACTAATACTAAAAATTTAATAGACTATAGTTCTAAATACAAAGCTACAACTATAGTTCTAAATACAAAGCTACAACTACATAAAGTTTCTAGAAGAAAACAAAATTATCTTTGCAATCTTGGAATAGATGAAAATTTATTAAGTACCACAGAAAAGTATGAAACAGAAGAGAAAAACCTAGACTTCAAAATTTTTAAATTATCTTCAAAAGATACTAAAGAAATTCTAAGTTCAGTGCTGAGAACCTGGAGCTGAGCTCACCTCTAGTTTCTGTGACTTGTTACTGAGGGCGGCAAAGGATCCTCAGACACCCCCAAGCATCGCAGTGTCTTCATACTGTCCTCTATAGAACATGGTGCTAGCCCTGAGAGAGCTTTGGACCATCACCCTGGTTAGGAGCCCTCCCAGCTCCCTGGAACACCGGAGGTGGCATGGGAGGTCCTGCGGGCCTCACTGGATCACGCTCAGCAACCTCTATTCAGTCCCAGGAGCTGAGGGCGTAGGAGAAATGATTTCGAACACTCCCAAAGGAAGCTTTGGAACATCACTTGAAACACAGAAATATAGGAAAATGACAAGACGAAAGACCAAAATGCAATCTCAAACCTCCAGCCCATCCCAAGAAAGCCTAGAAGCCATATACACAGAAGAAAATATAAGCCACACACCTGAAATATCTGAAATAATAGCAACTGAAATAAAGATACTAAAGAAAAAAATTTCTATATTCGCAAAACATATTTCTGATGAAACAGTCTAACCAGAATAAGAACTTTTATAATTCAAATGTAAGAAAGTAAACAAGTGAATGGAAAATAGTTAAGCAATATAAGCGGACACATCCGATAGGAGATGCATACATGGCAAACAAGCACATGAAATGCAAATTAAAACCTTTGTAAGACACCATTACACATCTACTAGTTGACATTAAAAATGACTGACAATTCCAAGTGCTGGAAAGGATGTGGGATACCTCGGACTCTCATACTTTGCTTATAGTATAAGAATGGAACGGTGAAAAATAGGTGTATGGTTTCTTATAAAGTTAAAGAGAGACATTCCATATGATCCAACAGTTCCTTTCTTTTTCTTCAGCAAATGCCCAAGAGAAACACATTTCCATACAAAAGCTTGTATACAAGTGTTTCGCAGTATTACTCATAATAGTCAAAACAATAAAAACAACCCAAACATCAGCCCACCCAAAGCTGAATGATTGTATAAATTATGTTTATTCACACCATGGAATATTGTACAGTAAGAAATGGTAATGAAAGGAGTGAATTACTGATAGTGCATAAAATAGATGAATCTCAACCGCATTTTGCTAATGGAAGCCAGATACAAAAGACTATATTGCATGACTCTGTTACATAAAATTCAAGTAAAGGCAAAGAACTATATTGAGGAAATGCATATGTGAATTAGCTAGACACAGTGACTACAAAATATACACATTCTTCAAAACATTATGTTGTGCACAGTAAATACATGCAATTACCCCTCAATTGAAAAAATAAGTATACTATTAAAGGAAAAGGCAAAAACGACAGCGACAGCAGATCAGTGGCTGCTGGGAGCCAAGAGTGGGCAAGGAGCCTGCCTGGAGAGCACTGGGTCTCCTGGAAAGACCTCTACCATGACTGCAACGCTGGCTACACACTGTGTACAGGTGTCAAGACCTGTCTCGTTGACCACTTAAAATTACTGAATTTTCTTTCCTATAGATTATACCTCAATAAAGATGATTTTTAAAGAATATTTTAAAAAGTATTATCCCATTTACAACTTAGTGAAGACGGTCTCAAAATAAATAAAAGAGAGCTGGGGCTATAGCTCAGTGCAAAGATCCTGGGTTGAATCCCCAGTAGCCTCCCAACATAAAGAAAAATCAACTAAAAAAACCCTCAACAGTGACATGTGTCTATGCACACAACATGCATTACACTGTAGGGTTACAACTGCCCTTACATTTTTTCAGCAGTGGGCATCTCAACATCTGATAGATTCAGTCTTGCAATAGCAGTGCAGACATCATCCCACATGATACAAAGCAACCTCTTCCAGTGTGCAGTGACACTGGCTGAGGGTGCATAAAGATGAGGCATAAGAAGTGCTGGGTGAAACCCTGTGCCCCTACGTGGCACAGACCCGTGACACTGCCAGGGAGAACCAGCCGTGCGCTAGGTGCCCCTCAGTCGGGACTGTGTGCCTCCCTAGAGCCTCAGAAACCTAATCTCACAGGGAAGATCCAGTTACTGACAGTGCCAATAAAGGAACTCAGTGCCACTCAGGCTGCAGTTCCACAAGTCGCAAGGAGAATCAAGATGGCTTTGCAGGTCACTGCCCACTCACTGAGAAGGTTGATTTCAGATGCTTGAAGGATGAACCATCACAGTACACGCATGTGGGTTGCCACCACCAGATACTAGAACATGGGAGACAGTACCAAAATGAATGTCTTTTAAATGTACTTGGCCAATTTGCTTATCTGTTTCTCCTCAGGAGAATGATTATCCTCACTGACAGCAGAGATTTCTGCCTTTGCTGCTGATATTCCTAGCAACTGCCAAAATGCCTAGCATATTCTAATTGGTCAATAAATATTTGTTAAATGAATTATGCCCATACAGACATTCAGCAAACAGCTGTTATGAATGCATTAGGTCTGTGTGGACAGTATTCTCACCTAAATGACGCAGTAACTTACTGTGGTCTTTCCTTTCTTGTATAACTACTTAGGATGTTAATGACTATGTTGTTTCCTCATTCATTTTGTCTCTACATACTAAATAGAACCTAAACTTTCAAGTGAAATGGTTCTTCTTTTCTCTTTTACGTATTTCTTCACTGTGAAATTTCCTTTAAATATATATACACATACATATATATATATATATATATATATACATACATACATTCATGCATACACTCAGAATAAAGAACAAATGTATCTTTACAAAATTAGGAGATTTATGGAGGGCTCCATTAATCAAAAACAATGCACTTTGTTTTCTTTTAGTTACCTTCTGCATCTTCTGGCTTCCCTACCTGGAAAACCCACCCTGGTCTTCTCTGTAAGTCTGGCCTTGTCTTCCAATCAGTCTCTCCAATTAAGAACACTTCTTTATAGCAGTCAACCTCAATCCTTTGATCTACTCTGATCCTATATATTCAGTGTACCCATTTTCCACTGTTATAGCAGGTTTAATAATGTTTGATGAATGTTAATGAATGAATTTCAGTGAGACAGAAGAAGCCTGAGGATACAAGAATACAAAGCTAAGGAAATATAGAAGATATCTGCATATTAAACTACTAAGCATAAAACTTACCAGTAGTGTCTGCCCTTGGGAAATGAAGAAGTGGCCTGATATAACTATAGTGAGAACCAGATATCCAGATTCTTCATTAGAATAAAATACCTTGAAAAACAGAGAGAAACGTGTTAAAAACATTTCTGTAATCCTGATAAACTTACCGTCCTAATAATCAAACTCGTACTCATCTATCTTGAGTGTTCTCTTTCCTCTCATTTAATCTGTAACCATTCCCTTGTAGTTCTAAATTATAAACCCAAGACTATCAGCTAGGCTTTTAAAAAGTAAAAATACATACCAGTGCTTTGAAACAAAAATAATGCCAGATTAAAAACCAAGAGATATGGGTGTTATATGAATCAATTTTTAGTTACATTTTAAGAAATCACATGGGGTGTGGCAGTGCATGCCTATAATCCCAGCACTCAGGAAGCTGAGGTAGGAGGATCATTTTGAGTTTGAGACCAGCCTGGGCTACAAGGTGAGCTCAACGCCAGGCTGAACTGCATAGTGAGACCCTGTCTCAAAAAGACAAAGAAAAAAAAGAAAGAAAGAATTTGTTCTGAGCTTTCAATTTTCTTTCTGTATTACAGAGATAATGCCTTACAGAATGAGACTTCAGATTCCCTCTTTCTCTAGCCAAATACTTCACATTCTACAGATGAACTCTAGTTTGTCAGTCACTTGAGATACGGTGACACAAACGTGCACCTAATCCTCTTGGTATCACACAGTCACATCATTACATGCAGGAGTGCAACCTATCACACTAACCTTTTCAGGGGAACAGTAAAGCAATCCATAGATCATCACCTATATTTGTAGATCATATTTTCCCTTTCTTCATTTTAAACCTAAATGTAAGACCTTGGACTTACCCCCTTTACATTTGATCTTGTTAGATTTGGTCTAACAAGACCTACTGAGCTGGAGTGAGCAACTGAGACAATTAAAGTAACAGGGAGGGCAGGACCAATATATGTAGTGACTACTGTGTGGGTGGTTTTACTATCACTAATAAGCATAAGGTATATATCTTTTATTCATAATGTGATAAGTTATACCTTAATGCCCAGTGTTCAAAGTAATTAACACTTAGCCAACAACTAAGGTATATTCTTATAAGATCCTGCATTCCACTGAGATATAATGTTCCATCTTACAGTTTTATATGTGGTTTGGAGCTTTAATATTATATTTAAACCCATTAATTTCCTATTAGCTCTAATTCATTTTAAATCCCAAATTTAAAGAGCAAACATTTTAGGTGTCACAGGGAATATGCTAAGCCCTGCACAAACCCCTTTGGTGGCAGTCATTCTGCCTCTTTCCTGGTACTGGGAACTTATAGAACATTCTTCCCACCACAGCCTATATAGATTATCTTATATGTTTCATGACCACACAGAACCAGAACAGCTAGGAGTCAAGCACTGCTTTCAAAACTAGGGTCCAGACAACAAATTTCTTTGGCAGACAACATGTTAACATGACAGTTTCACTTTTTTAAAGAAATATGACATGTAAGGGTCTGGGGATTTAGCTCAGCGGCATAAGCACCTGCCTTGCAAGCAGGCAGTGGTGAGTTCAATCCCTGGTACCAATAAAAAGGAAAAAGAAAAAAAAAAAGAAAGAAAGAAAGAAAGAAAGAAAAAGAAATATGACATGTATATCAAAAAGTATCCAACACATAAAGGTATGTAGCAAAATCATTGATGACCAGGCAAACACACTGTGACTAATAGGTAAAGAAACAGAACATTACCAGACTTCCAGAAGGCCCTTTGTGCTATCTTAATCACTACCTGCTTATTCCTCCCTTCAAATAGTCTCCATCCTGACTTCTAACAACACACTTTACTTTCGTTTACATAAATGAAATCACATGGGAAAAATGTGCATTTGACTACATCAATATTGCACATACAGATTTTTGTTATTGTACAATGCTTTTCTATAACCATACCCCATTTTTTCTTATTACTGGTATTTTTCCCAGTGTAGATCTACTACAAATAACGCTGCTGTAAACATACTCATGAACATCTCTTGCTGGATGGAACACTCATAAGGATGCCAATTCTTTCCAAAACATTGGGGTTTTTTTTGAAAAAAAATTTTTTTCAAATGGTAACCAATGACTTCTCTCTTCCTATGCTCCAAATCATCACTTCTAATTCACAGTCAACATCTCCATGTGAAGGTCTAACAGTCATCTCAAAATTAGCAGTCCCAACCTTAAACTCTTACCTAACCTTCTTATTCATTTATCCATTCTGTACTTACAAAGCATCTTTCATGCACTAGCGTACTTTAAGCAACTGACTCCCACAGTTCTTCCATCTCTGAAAGTAATTCTGTCCTCTTTCTTTAGAAATGAGCCAGCACTTCTTTTCTCATACCCTATCCAATCCATATACCAAATCCTTCACATCTATCACCAAACTATTCAAAATGTAACCACTTCTGATAGGTCTAGTCTGAATTATCATAAGTGCTAGCTGGTTATCATAATAACCGCATGACTAGCTTCCCCAATTCTGTTCTTCTCTTCTCCAACAGTATGTCATATTTGCAGTAGAGTAGCCAGAGTGATTCTTTTAAAACTTGAAAGTCAGATTACAGCGTGTCCAGAGCAAAGCCCTATGTTGGCTTTCAAGCTCATTCCCAAACCCTGGAGGTGCTCCATGATGCAGCCCCCTCTGCCTCCCTGCTCTCCCCCACTCTGCTGTCCATACCGCCACACATATATATGATTGTAAACCCCGGGGCTTTACAACGCCTGGATAGCTGAAATTCTCCTCTCCAGAAATCCAGATGCAGGGGTCACCCCTGCATCTCCTTCAGGTTTTCAGTGTCATCTACGCAGGTAAGGCCTTTGCGAACCACTATGCTGAGAACTCCCCATCACCAGACCAGACTTCTGCTACTCCTCCTTCAGTTTCATTTTTCTTCTCTTATACCTCTTACTGCCTTTTTCCATTGTATTTACCTACTTATTATCTGTCTAACCTGAACAGGATTTGATCTCTATGAAGGCAGACTTCTCTTTTTTCCTGTTTTGGTCACTACAAATGCATAGGATAGTACCTGTCACGTAATGCAGGATTTCTTGACTGGGTAAGTGAATAGCATCAGGTTAAAAGCAAGCTTTTCAAAGGAAACAAAGATGTTTTCAGAAAGAATCACTAGAAAATATGCACTAAAAAAAATTAAAGTCCTCTAGGCAAGAAAGAAAATAGTATCAGATGAAAAGTAAGATCTCTATAACAGAATGAGTACTGGAATAGTGATTACATACAAAATCTTTAAAACATCACTGACAAGTGAGATTATAAACAGAACATAATTAATTCAAAAGAAGGCAGAAGACCAAATAGAGCACAATGAACAGATCAGATAAATACACAAAAACAAAGTGATTAACTTATACTTTATTATATCAATAACCACAACAAATACAAAAACATCTCAATTAAAAGTAGAGGTAGTCTCAATCCCCGGTACCGATAAAAATGAAAAAGACAAAAAAAAAAAAAGTGGAGGTGGTCAAATTGGATACATTGACAACACAACTATAAGAAAGATATCTATCTATAAAAATACTACCTATAAGAATGCTACCTATAAGAAATATATTTTAGGACCAGGAATGTAGCTCAGTGGCACAAGCACCTGCCTGGCAAGCATGAGGTCCTGCGTTCGATTCCTGGTACCAAAAGAAAGAAAGAAAATTGAAAGAAATGAAACATACTTTAAATATAAAAACATAAGATGGAGAATATGTATCATGCAAATAGTAATTAAAAGCAAGTTGGAGTGGTTGTATCAGTCAGATAAGGATAGCAAAAGATAAAGAGAGTGTCATTTCACAGTGACAATCAGGTCAGTTAAGAAACATATGCATCCTAAATATTGATACTTCAAGCAACAGCTTAAAAATACATGAAGCAGTTCCTGATAGAACTATAATGAGAAACAAGTCTACATTTAGAGGCATATTTCTATACCCTTCTCAATAACTGATAGAACAAGTACATAGAAATTATCAAGTATAGCAAGCATGAGGTAATGAGTTCGATACCCAGTACCAAGAGAGAAATTATCAAGTACAAAGAAGCTGGGGAGAAATTACCAGCTAACATGACCTTACTGACATTTTTACAACACTCTACCCAACACCAACACACCAACACAAAACACATTTTTCTCAAGTATACACAGAACATTCACCAAGACAAACTATATTCTGGACCACATAACAAGTTTTCGCAAATTCTGTCTCCATTAAAAAAACTATTAGATCAATAAATTTAATGAAGTTGCAGTATACAAAAATCAACATACAAAAATTAGTAACATATCTATACTAATAATAGCAAATTATCTAAAAAAAGAAATCAAGAAAACAAGTACCATAGCTATTTTAAAAAACTACTTTGGAAGGAATAAATTTAACTAAGAAAGTGAAAGACTTCTACACTGAACACTATAAAATAATGAAAGAAGGTGAAGACGACACAAACAAATGCAAAGATATTCCATCCCTGTGCACTGGAAGATTCTTATTATTAAAAAGACCACACCACTCAGTGACCTACAGACTGAATGCCATTCATTTCAAAAAAAGTAATCTTGAAGCTCGATACAGTGCTGCACACCTTCAAGCCCAGTTATTCAGGGTGCTGAGGCAGGATTACACAGTTGAGGTCAGGCTGGGAGATTTACTGAGACCTTGTCTCAAAATAAAAGAGAAATAGCTGGGGGCAAAGGCATCACTGCGAAGGTAAACAAAGACCTGAAGCTCTGATAAGGGTTAGCCAGTTACCTGCGGGCACAGAGTTGGAGGCTTACTGTTTTTCAGATGGGTTACATTCCCTCATTTAAGAGAACTAAATAGTGAGTTTATACAATTTAACAAGGACTAACTGAAAGGGTTTTGGCCGAGGCTGGACACTGCAGCAAGTAAAGCCAAAGAGCTCCTATCTCCCCCACCCTTAGGAATCTACCTCTGGCGCCAAACTAAGACCAAAGGGCTACCTGTGCATCCCTAATGCCCCCCTTAGGTTCCACCCCAAGCGAAGCTACTTATGTGCCTCACTCCA